CTTAGAAAATATGATTAAAAAAACAATGAGTAAAGAAAAAATAGTAAGTATTATATTTATTTTAATTTATTTATTTAATGTATAACTATTTATAATATTTGAATTAATAACAATACAATAGTCTGAATAATACAATGGTGTTGGTGATTATCTTATTATCTCTAACTCTCAAGTAAGCCTGCTTGTTGCTGTTAGCAATGCTCTCCTATCATGTAATTAACTATTATTTTAAAAATGCAACCATCTATTATCTCAAAATCCCTTCTTCCGATTTAATCCTCATACTTTTTTGATTCACCTATCTATTGAGAATGTTGGAATGAGAAAACCTTTCAGAAGCCTTTGCCTTCAGGTATAAAATAATATCCAAATTCATCCTTGTCTAGCTATGTTATCCATATCTAATAATTAGTCATTGCTAAATGATCTAAGTGATATTAATCATAATTTGCTTCTTCACTCTTTTTCAAATTGAGGCTCAATAACAATCCCATACAGTACCCTAGATAAAAGTAAGAGATACTTGTGATCTTCGACATCTATTCTTTTGTCTCTCTATTTCATGAGATAGATTTTATTTAAATTATTTTCATTAACTTTATTTGTTATTCTATATAAATTATTTTACAACATTATATATATCATAAAATATACTTAGTAATATATGCTAACAATTGCCTTTGCCAAAATTGTTTTTCGTGTGCAATGATTTATCAATAAATTCAAATTTTAACACATTCATCATAATGACTTAAGCATTATGAAATACATTTTACATCTACTATATATGATAGTGATTATCTATTTCTCCCTCTTTTTTAAACAAGTATACTCTTGAAAATAATAGTAACAATATAACTTTTTTAGTCTATTAACCAAGGTTCAGATAAACACGTATCACCAAATAAAGAATTTAAAAAAGAATCTGTAATTGAATCAGAAGAAGTTGACATCTCTGAAGGTATTCAAGATGAGAATGAAAACGAAAATAATATAGAAGTAGAAGATAAAAATAAGATTTCTAAACAAATTATTGATCAAGTTGCTGCTAAAATAGGAGAAAAATGGAATGTACTTGCTGAAAAACTTGGTTACCAACCAGATGAGGTAAAATTGTGAACATGTTTAATTATGCATAAAGATTTTCTAGTATCTATTTAGACTTATCTTATTTTGCATAACTATAATATATTAATAATAATTTTAAAGTTAGAAAAAAGTTTATTTAAGTTAAAATTAATATGTATATACATGGAGAGTTGGGTCTTGAAGTACTATAGTTATTGATAATTATTCTGTGTAATATAAATCTCAATGAACATGTATGTATATTATATTGTATTATATGTTTGGTTAGAAATTAAAATATTTACTTTGTTTAAAATTAGTTTCAATTGTTGATAATTAAATGTTCGTCTTTTTTATTTACAACCATTAATATTCTTTTTTTCTCTTAGTGTTCTGTTAAATCAAAAGTAATACACTTTATTATCTAATATTACAATGTTGTTAAATCTTAAAAATTTTGTTTTAGATTGAATTTGTGAAAACGATAAAAACTACACCTTTAGATCAAGCCACATATTTACTAGAAGTGTGGGTTGAAGATGCAGAAAACCCCAAGCCTGAAAATCTTATTTATATTTTAGAAGAAATTCAATTAACTGAAGCAGCAGATATCCTTAAGTCTTAACAAACAATTCAAATATTATAATATTACGTACTGTAATTTCTAAATTCAATGTAATTTTTTATTCAAAAGACATAAGAATTAATTAAATTATACTTATTTTTGATTTAATTGGACAAATATTTTAAATTTATATTTCATATAATATACATATTAGCTGTACATGCATGATGTCAACTGTGAAAAGGATTATAAATCAAGTATCCTTTAAATTTTTATTTTTGTTGTTAAACATAACAATATATATTGAATGAAAAGAAATTTAAATTCTTTGTGCCAACATAAAAATTTATGCTTATTGCTAAGTTTTATCTTTTAATAGATTTAATCTATGAAGCTTAAAAATTAGGGTTAGTAGTATGTGAGGTCCTAATAGCTAATAGGTATGAACAACATTTGTTTTTCCCATTTTTTAATTTTAAGTTGAAAACGGACAAATTCCGGTAATATTAACTAGATACCTGAACCAGTTTCTATACTTTAACGTATTTTCATTTTTTTTCTCCGATATGAACCAAGTATTGACACTATTTTATTTTTGCAGTCATTTGATGTAATTGCAATTGAAATAATATAATCGGACAATTCACTTGCGATTTTATTCCACGCGTCATTTATTAAAATCTTATTAAAATTATGTTTGTTTTTGTTCATAGGGTTCCATATAATTCCTTAATACGATCTACGATAAACTTCAATAAGCCTTAATATATTTTCATTTGTCCAACCAGTGCCGGAATTAGAACAGGTGCCGCCTTAGGCCCTTTTAAATATGCCGCCTCAACCCTAATTAAAATAATGATGTATTTATTTCTCAAATTCATAGATTTACTTCTATGTTTTTTAAATACGTATATTAAATATTTTATAATATTAATTTATGCAGTTATATAAATCCATACAATATATGATTTTTTTCCTATTTCTTACAAAATTTGCTACCCTAGGCCCGGGCCTAGACGTAAATCCGGCCCTGTCTCCGATTCACCATCGTTACAAAATGTATACCAAGTAACCGATATTAAAGGACTATAATGTTTGCTAGGAGGTTAATCATCGGCAACTAAATTTTACTATGATAAAATGGTAAAATAAAATGTACGTTGCAATTTGGTATATAAATATTAATATACATAATATTATAACAATAATATCATACAAGTCTAGTACTCCAGTTATAGTTATTTCAAATATTTCAATAATCGAATAATATCGATATAAGTATCCCCTATTAATTTTTGATACAAAATACTGTATGTCTGAATACTAAATTCGTATGATGTTATATGGCTATGTTCGTCATTTCTTCCATACTTACATTTTGTAACTAGTAACTTGAACGAGTATCACCCTTTGATGTTTCGCCAAAATACTTACAATCAGCGAATCAACAGTTTGTTACATAAATATAATACAAATCCACAAAACCGGATTAAGAATTTACCCGGCCTGGAGCCTAGTATTCCAAAGGACCCTTAGTCCTTACAATAATAAAAAAATGATACAAGGTAAATTGCACAGAAATATCTTTAACATTTTTTAATATTTGTCAACTTTCATTAAGTACATGCTATTATACAATATTATTCATTAAATGTCAAAATATAAATATAAAAACATAAAAATTAAAGTATATTATATTATATTATATTTTAAAACTAACTTTACTATCTTATTTTCTCTTCTTTTTTTGAAACTCCACAATAATTTCGTTTGTATTAATAAATCTGTTTATCTGTTAATAAATGCTTGCATATCAAAATGATTGTTCACAATCGACTGAAGTTATTGGGATGAATGTGAATTTAAAAAAGCTTAAAATCATTAGGTCTTGATATTATGTCTGATTAAATTTTATAATATTTCTTACACATAGGATACATGGGATAATAATAATTTTTTAAATAGCCAATACTTAGTAAGGTAAGGACCTTATTTAGCAATATTTTCATACTTTCTTCTTTCTATTTTTTAAGCTTTCACTTAGCGGCTCCACTAGAACATTTTTGAGACATTGTAAGTAATATTATATTGTATCAGTAATCACTAAATAAGTCAACTGTTGGGATTAAATCGTGAAGACCAAATGATGGTCGACAACAGACGCTCGTATGTTTCTAGCAAAAACAATCTAGATTAACTATAAATAAATCAAAACCAAATCTACTAATAAAAATATATTGTCGGAAATAAGATAAGTAACGTAATGTTCTAGTTGATGCACCGAATGCAAACAATTATTTCAATCTGATATTATTGCTCCGCTCGTTTGCGGATGGCATTCAGTACATGACGTAATAAAAATAATACAATTAAATTACGAAAATTAAAAAAAAGGGTAACCAAAATAAAATTTGAACTTAAAATATTTTGAATTTGGTTTCAGATAGAAGGCCCCCTCGGGGCCTTCAATATTTTAGGGCCTGGAGCCTGGGCTCCTAGGCTCCGTGCTTAATCCGGCCCTGCAAATCCAATGATCTATTACACCCATATACCACACGAACGCTGTTGCCGTTGTGTGATACTTGTTCATTGTTTTGTTTCGCCAGTGGGTACCTGACTTTTCGATATGTAACTGGTACTTTGAAAAAAATTGTTCATTTACTCTCATGTGAGAAAATATCGAATTAGTATAAAATATAATGTATGATGTAGCATTTGTTTAATCCCTTTAAAGCCCAAAGTATACATGAAGTACCTATTGGCTATTATGTCTAAACAGATACATACTTAATCGCGGTATCTAGTACCTACCTATCATTGAATCAATATTCAATACTATTACCTAAAATGCTAAAATATTTCGGGAACCAACTATTAACGAGTATGACAAATTACATTTTTAAAACAAGCTGTCCTATTTAATTTCAATAATATAATCATCTTGAGTGAATACTAAGTAATCGAAAGCAGAAGGAGGTACCTACGTAAGACAATTACTACAGTATTAGCAGATGGGAGAGATAAATTTTTTTCTGATGAACTTTATAAATTTAAATTTTTGTATTTTAAATTTTAGTATTGGGTTAGCAGAGCTATCTAGTGTTTTATTTAAACTTTTGATTACACGAAATGTAAACAAAGTGTGATTGTAAATTGTGAGATAACGTAAATTCCGCGTCTAGATTTATTTTTTTAGTACCGAAATAATGCTAAAACTATTATAATACAGTATTTAGGAATAAAATATTTGATCATAACTACTTATCTAGTATATAATTTATAGTTTATCGGAGCAATAATTTATAGTAATGTTTAGTATAAATATATAGTTTATTATTTTATTTATGTTATTTAAAAATTAATATACTTATATGCTACACTAGATAATGATTATTTAAAATTTATTGCTCGTCATAAAGTTATTTACAATTTTATTTGACAAGTAAGAATAATGATTATGTTAGTGAGTGAGTGTTTGTGGCTATCAAAATACATGGATTTAAATTTCATTAATACTTAATTAGTACTACTATTACAAAACAAAAGTAAGTAAATTATATTTTGTAGGTAGATATTAATTTGTATCTATACACCTGTAATTAATATTTAAAAAACTAATTTTATTTTTAAAAATAGATATGGAGTTTACAAGACCAGTAATAAATGCTTATGAATCTTCAGATATGATAAGTAAATACATATATTTAATACATTGAATGTTATTTTATTTTATTAATTGAGAAATATTCTATAAACATTTTCATTAAGACTTTTACGGCATACATAATTAAAGTGTTTTTAGCTTATGACTGTAAAAATTAATGTTTTAAAAAAAAAATTGAAAAAGTATTATATTATCAGTGAACAACTTATAGATACATATGAAATAATAGTTGTAGGGGATGTTAACAAAAATACAATACCTAATTTAGCTGTAATCCTGACCAAATTGTAGTGCATTTAATAATAAGGTAGATTATGCTAATTGATGCTATTACAAGTGATTCTGATTCTTCTTTGATTACCTACCTACTTTAAAAATGTTACTTTACGTAGTTTATTGCTAAACTGTAATTATTACTGTAATTTCATTTTTATACCCGAAATTACTTCATGAAAACGACTAACCTGTACAAATAAACAGTTGAGCATTAAAAATTAATAATTATTTTAAATTTAGTGTACGGCAATTATGCAGATGAAGAATACTCAGAAGTAATTGATACTAGTCTATATTCAGATCAATTAGATGTACCAAGGTCTGAGTATGAAGAAACTCAAACAATATTGACAGATACTTGCAGTCAGTATGGAATTACAGCTACGTGTTTTGATGCATTTGAGAATTTACTTTGGGTTGGAAATCAGCTGGCAAGTGAATGCCTTAAATAGTTCATTTTAGATTTACCCAACAAAATGTTAATATCAAAAATTAATGTTATGCAGGGTTATGTTTCTTCATATTATAGTGCAGATATGCAAAAGTATACAATGTTTCGAGCTCATTCAAACGAGGAGATTCGTTCACTATTGACTACTGATTCTACGTTGTTAGTCCTTACACCTACTACACTACGATGCCAGATGCGTAGAGGCTTACCAATTTTTACTCACAGGTAATATAATGGTAAATTAAAACTAAGGTTTATTTTAGGAGATGCCTGTTAAAATTAAATAAATGCGAGCTTAAATATGTAATTAATAACTATTGAAGAATAATTATATTTGAAAGCAATTTCTAGTAATATATTACAAATATAATGTTTACTTTCAGCCATGAAATTGTGATACCATATTATTTAATTTATTAAATTTATAGATAATAAACTGCAAAGTAATTTTTTAATTGTTTTTGAAATTATTATATTCTTTTTATATCTTTTAAAATAAATACAGAGTTATTCTTTTCTTTTTTGTTTATAACATAAATCATGTATGAAAGCTAAATATCAAATAACTACTAAGTGTAAATATTTATTTATAAAAAATTATATTATTTTAGTACAGAGTATTTAAATGAAATGCAGTGTATAATTCAGTTGGGGCGTTCTCAAGACACTATATTAATGGGTGGTCATCAAGAAAAACTGATTGAGTTTAACCTGAATTTATGTAAAGAAACAAGCATTATAAATGCTGGAGAAAATGGCTGTGCTATATTAAGACAGAATGCCAATAGAACTGTATGTTGTGGAGATCCTACTGGAGTAATAAAGCTTCGAGATCCAAGAAATATTTCAAAAATTATTTATACTGTAGAAGCACATACAGGCAGTTTATCCGATTTTGATGTTCACGATAATTTGTTGGTTAGCTGTGGATTTAACAATACGTGAGAGAAAAAAAATTTCTATTCATATTGATAATAACTTCTAATTATAATTATGATATTATATTAGACATGGATCCATGGAGCTAGATCAATTTTTAGTTGTACATGATTTAAGAATGATGAGATCTGTTTCGTCTATTCCAATGATTATTGAACCATTTTTATTGAGATTCATGACTTCATATTCATCACGCATTGCAGTTGTATCTACAATAGGGCAATGCCAACTTGTGGATACTGTTGCTTTGTCTGAGCAAGATATGAATCTCTACCAGGTACATTAAAGCTCATGTTCAAATTATATTATATATTGTTTCTCTCTCAAATTATATATTAAATACTAATAATGTTTAATTTAAAATTAGATGAGGGGTGCTGAAGAAGGAGCAATGGCCCTTTCTATGGATGTATCTCCTTCAAGTCAAGCAATTGTAATTGGAGATAATGTGAGCACATTACATTTATTTACCACAGCATCTTCTCAGTTTAATACTTTAGCAAGAGATACAATATTTGCACAACCAATGGAACCACTTCCTTGTGGTCCTATCAATGTCACAGATGAATTAGCTGATTATTCTAGTATTCCATTACCTCATTGTGATGGACCTTTAGCATCAGAATTACCCGAGAAATTTCTTACTAAAATTTACAGGTAAATTTTAAAATTTTAATCAAATTAAAACTTTATGAATGTTAATGAATTTGAATAATATAACAATTAATACACTTACACTTAGGGAAATATTAGATCTTATGTTAAATATAATGCCAAACAAAAATGGAAAATCACCAATTGAAACCAACACTCAATTATGCAAAATGTATAAAAAAAAGAAAATATAGTACAGTTTATTAAAAGCCAGGCATTTATATTAGGCTAATAGGAGTCCAATGAATGTAGCAATTACAAATTTAATGAAAAGAAAACTATGAAAATGAAAGGACAGTATTGTGATATGGTTAAAATAATTTTAAGTGAAATGGGAAACAGCTTAATAAACTAATAGAAGGAAGTAATTTTGATAGCAAAGAGCTTAAATAGCTTGTAAAGTTTGAAAAAAAAAATATAAAACTCTTTTAAATATACCAATAATTGTTTATAAAACTAAAATACTTAACTACTATAGTTTTCTATGAAATGGCATGGTTTACAAGTTTATATAATTATACATATACATCTATATTAATTATACATGTTTAAAATAAATATCTGCACTTATTCATTAATAATAATAATAATAATAAATTAATACTTATATCAATGTTGGTGCTTTTAGGAAAACACCATCAATAGATACGAATATTTTATCTACAATGAAAATGAAAGGAACTGTTGGTTATGCTCCGAACCCAAATAATCGGAAACGAAATCAAGTAATTAGTCTTGTTACTTATAATTTTGTCATTATTGATTAAAATTATATTAATATTGATAATGAAATATTTTGGATATAGTTGAAATTCAATAAATTCAAACAAACATTATTTTAGCTTTAATTTATTATACATTTTACCATTAAATTATTTTCTAATAATATAAATGAACCAAATTTAGGTTGCATATTTCAATACTGTTGTTGAATCACAAAATAATATTAATTACAATCAATCAAATGATGAAGAATGTGAATCCCCTACATTTGTAGCAATACCTAGAAGATATAGAAAAATTGATTTGAAATTTAAAAGTGAAGATTTTGACTATGAACAATATAATAAAACTGGATTTAGTGGTTTAGAATCAAATATTCCAAACTCTTACTGCAATCCAATGCTTCAGGTAATCTATTACTTACTGTTAAAATATTAAAATGAATAATATTTTATTCTTGGACATTTATATACATGCATTGTTATAAAAGAAAAATTTTAATTTATATATAAAAACAAGTTATGCAATTTTTATGATGCATAAATATCATAAGACATAAAGTTCCAATTTTATAGTTTAGTATTGATAAATACATTATTGCATGTTTACAATTAAACTAATACTTGTCATCTATTATATTGATATTATGATGAGTTAGTAGATTTACGTTAAGTTTTAATTTTTACATTAATTGAATAATAAGAAAAATATCTAAATAGAACAAAGCAATTAATTTAAACTTGTTTTTAGTTAAATTATGTGATTAGATTGATTATTCTGATTGATAAAATATACTGAAAATAAGTAATTTTAGTATAATAGTTTTTTTTTTTAAATTTTTATTTTAAATGACCTACTACATATTGCAAATATCTTACTATTGGGTGAAAATTGACTGAAAACCAAAAAATAAACTTATTTTATTTCTGTTCAAAATTAAATTATGGTTTAATAATTTTTGTATAGGTTTTATATTTTTTGGAACCTTTGCGGAAAATTTTAATGTCACATATATGTCAAGAAGAATTTTGTTTAAGCTGTGAATTATCATTTTTATTTTATATGATGAATAAATCTAAAGGGGTACCATGTCATTCTGGAAACTTTTTAAGAGCTCTTCGTAATGCTCACGATGCTACAGCTTTAGGACTTATACTACCTGAACACAATAATGCTGAAATGAAAAATAAAATCAATATCAGCATTTTAATTCAAGTAAGTTCAACTAAATTATAAATAATAACTAAATATTTTCAATTATTAAAATATAAATAGTTTATTCGTATTGTAAATTTTAAATATTTTCTATTTCTAGTTTTTTTTTAGTCGGATTGATTTCAATAATTTTATTTGTATTATTTAATTATTTAGAAACTGATTTGCTAAAATGATTATTACTTGATTGAAATAAATATAAATATTTAAGTTATTTTTAATATCATTTTTAATTAAAAACTAAGTTTTTTAGTAATACTAAAAATAAATAATTAAAATTTACAACAAGTCATTAATTTAATGATTTTATATATGAATCATCATTCATCAGTATGTTTTCAAGTTAGATATCTAAATTAAAATTTACAAAAACATAAATATTTTTACACAGATTTTAAATTATTAGTATTAACAATTGATGGCTAAATATACATTTGAAAATTACTACAATTTAAATATTGTTTTTTAATATTTGTACGTTTTTACTAGAACTGGAATCGATTTATTTTGCATCAAATTCATTTGGAACTTTTAAGATCAAAAAAAGATTTAACTGATGAACAAAAAAAATTTATTTTCAAAGATACAGATTTTCCAAGTATTGGAGGTCAACAAGTTCGAAAAAAAATTAAAAATAAAGAAGAAGATAATAATGAGACTGAAATAACTAGATTATTTGGTTGTAAACAACTTCATGTTAATAAATGTTTAAAATGTAATCATGAGTTTAGCAAGCAATCTAATTTAATGGTCTGCAATTTGGTTTATCCAGAATCCAATGATGGTATAATTTTAAAACACACAAATAAATCTTTTTTTAAGTATTTGTTTATTTGTATTGTAGAAACATCTAAATCATTTTGTGATTTACTTCAACAAAGCATTTGTCCAAAACAAACTACTACAACTTGGTGTGAACGATGTGAAAGTTTCCAGCAGACATTGCAGAATAGAACATTAAAATCATTACCTGCTATATTAACTGTAAATTGTGCTATTGAAAGCAAACAAGTGAGTTTTGAATTATTTCATAATTAATAAATAATTACTAAATATTATTATTAGTTATTTCATAAATCTAAAGTGACTAGATATAAGTATTGTAAAAGCAGTACAAACACTTAAAAGCTTGTCAGAGGAAAATGATCAATATGACTTTATTTTATTATTTGTTTTTTGATACATTTATTAATTTTTACTTAGTAATGTAATTAAAAAAACTAAAAATTATAGTATTTTACAACATAGGTAGGTTTTATAGAAAAAAAAAAAAAAAAAAAAAAAAAAAACAAAGAAATAATAATTAAAATCACCAATTTGTTGAAAATTGAATAAAAGTTGAAAGTTTAGTAAATATTAATAAATTTTACTATCTAATTTTATCACAGCATTGAGCAACACACTTGCTTGATAATCTGTACTATTCCTACATAATAAATGATCTAGTGTTCTGTTAAATATATTATAGTTTTTATGCAAACATCAATGATACTTGATATTGTGAAAAAAAACTAAACAATATATTTATTAAACTTGTGTTGTGTAAATATTTAACTTTAGATTTACTAATAAAATAATAATTTTAAAACATGTATATTAATTGAATATTATATTTATAATGTTTAATAGAACAAAGATTTTTGGCAACAACAAATGGACATTTTGATAAAACACGCTGTCACAAAATCTAGTGATCAAAAAACAGCACCAAGTACACCAACATCATTTAATAAACCTTGTCGATATGGAAGCAATTGTACCAGACATAATTGTAGATTTATGCATCCTGGACAAGTGCCTGCAGGTAACTATAATTTTATAGTGTTATATTTAATTGAATAAAATAATCAACATATTTTTTTATTTAAAATATTTACAATTTTTTTTTTTAACATTCAGCAAATTGTATATAGTAATATGACTATAATATGAGCATAGAAATTAATACTATAAATAGGCAACACCAATTAAATTATTTATTATTCATTATTTTTATTTGGATTTAACTCACTAGTGTAGTGCATTGTATCAGAAATAGGTAGAAAATAAGTATCTAATCATTTATAAATGTGTGCCATTGGCAAACTTAATCCAAATTAAATGAATGTGTGATAAATTAATGTATTGGCATTGTAAATCTCTAGTATTGCTTAAACTATAATATAAGTAATACAATGAAGGAGGCTATTTATTAATGGAACTTTAAGAATTTATTTATAAAATTAATATACATGGACATTTTTATTTAATAATAAATGTTTTTATTTCATTATACATAGCCAGATTTTAATTGAATGTAATTTATTTAAATAATTTTATTTATAACTTAAGAAGGGAGATAAATGGATTGAAATATTTTTAATATATTTTATATAGGTTTCATTTTGGTGTGTAAATAGAAAATTTTAGTATGAATAATTTGAGAATATGAGATATTTGTGGTGAGCTTTGAAATAGATTCCAGTTGGCCTTAATGTTTTGATTTATTTTTAAAGACATTTTCAAACTAGAAAAAATTTATACGAAACCTTTTTTTTTTAACAATATTCTTAATATTTAATTGTGTCACCACTTATGATGGAAAATCTAAAACATTATTAGCTACTAAAGTAATAAATATGATGTTACTTTGGATGCAGGTTTAAACTGAATTTGAAATTGTGGCTTCATTGTAATTTTATCTTATTTAGAAACACATTTTTCTCAAGTTAAGATAAAATATTTTTAAGTACTAGACAACCTTTGAAATTAAAATATGTGGCTTCCTAAGTAGAGGTGATATTTTGTTTAATCAACGTATTAAACTAATTTTTTATTAGTTTCAGAAACAAATAATTCCATGAGCTTGTCTCAGTTATATTATACGCACTCATGGCTGCCATTGAGTATCAAGGCTGAACTTGAGCCAGATGGAGAATTAAAACTATCTAAATGCGATGAAGAAGTAGATAATAAATCTTCCAATATATATGATTTGCATGCTGTTGTATGCTATATACATGATGATCGTAAAAATCTTGTATCCATAGTAAATGTGGGCAAAGCTGATCATGAACACATATCAGCGAGTAACCCATCTTCTCAGTGGTATATATTTAATGACGTTAGCGTATCGCCAGTCATAGGACAAGAAGCCGTTTGGTTTAGTTTGGATTGGAAAATTCCTTGTATATTATACTGGGTGTCAAGAAATAATGAAATTGCTATTGATGTTGAAAGTGATGCTAGTGATCCAGTTATAACAGCTAAAGTGTTCACCGAAAGTGTTTATTTGAATTCTTCATCAAATAGTAATGATGTTATTTTAGATGAAGAAATTCCTAAACCTGGTACAACTGTTAGAAATTTTAAAAAATGTAATATTTAATTTAATATTAAATAATTTTTTAGGTGAACTAGTAGCTATTGATGCAGAATTTGTTACTCTTAATCAAGAAGAATCTGAATTAAGAAGTGATGGCCGATTAGCCACAATAAAACCTGTGCAAATGGCTGTGGCAAGAATATCATGTATTAGAGGGTAAATAATTATTTTAATTATTAATTTTAAAATAATATTTTATTTTTAACCCTTGAATGTTAACAGTGAAGGTCCAAATGAAGGCAAACCTTTTATTGATGATTATATTTCAACCCAAGAGCAAGTTGTTGATTACCTTACAAAATTCTCTGGTATCAATCCTGGTGATTTAGACATTAGTAAAAGTTCTAAAAATCTTACCACTCTTAAATCCACATATATGAAATTGCGATATTTGGTCGATAATGGGATAAAGTTTATTGGTCATGGTCTATACAATGATTTCAGGTTAGAAACTTTTTGAGTACTATGATTTATTAAAGATGATTAAAGACTATACAATTTAAATCTAACTTTATATATTATAAATGATTATATTTGTATTAATGTTTATAGAATGATCAACTTGATGGTACCACCCGAACAAGTAATTGATACTGTAGCTTTATTTCGACTTCCACATCAACGGAATGTATCGTTACGGTTTTTGGCTTGGCACTTTTTAGGAAATAAAATTCAATCTCTTACTCATGACTCTGTAGAGGATGCACGGGCTGCATTACAGTTATATCAATGTTACAAAAAACTTGAAGCAGATGGAACATTGCAAGCAAGACTAGAAGAACTTTACAAATGTGGAAAAGAAATGCTCTGGGTAGTGCCTGGTGAATAGAACAAGTGTGTGATATTTCAATTATATTATATTTTTTTGATTAAATAAATTTTTATAAAAATAAATATATATAAAATTATTATACAAATGAGGAGTTTATGTATTGTACCGTCTATTAGTATAAGGTCTATGGATGTTACCAATAATAATCATGCCTTTTGATAATTCTGATATGCTACACCATACAAACTGAAAGTATTTTAATAAGATGTTAAGATTGAAAACAATGAAAACTATAAAGTAAGTTTTATTCTTTATAATTTATAATTTACTTGGTATGAAGGTACTGCACACTGCATAAAAAAGAGATATTCATATGTCAGTCACAATTAATATTTCTTTAGTTATGGTCAGAAATTATAATAGTCCTATTTACATAGTGACACAGAAAGACATATTGATTAAATTTGTTGAAATAAATAAGGATTAAGGAACCTATGTATGTGACATGATGTGTTATACATGAAATAACAATCAACATCATATTTAAAGATTAAGTATATATTTATTTATATTTTTAGAATACATTGTTGTAATTTAGTATACACGAAATGGAAAAAAAATTTATTTGTTATAATGATCATTCAAATTGTTTATTAAATCAAAACACAATTTATATGTATATATATATATATTATATATATGCATACACCATAACAAGCAATAATGTAAAATGTAATACTTAATAATTTTTAATATTTGAAATAATATTTTCATTCATGCAAATAGACAAATTAATAAATTTAAAAACAATAGAGACGGGTTGTTTACAATCAATCAGAAAATAAAACTCAAATTTATACTGATAATATCATGTTAAACTATGTAAAATTATTTTTAAATATAATTGTAGTTATCTATTCATAAAACCATTAATAAAATTTTCATTATTAATTACTATAATTATTGAATCCAAAAACAATTATTTAATAATATATTAACTAAACATATAAACAATAATATTTATTTTTCATTGCAAATTTTGCTTAACAAGTTGATCTCCTTTGATAAAACACATTTTATTTGGATTTTTTGGACAGTAACGTCTTGTGTGTGCGTTCTCTCCAGTTGCATAACAAAACGGACATTGATACCTTTAAATGAATAAATATGACATTTAAATTAAATTAAGTATAATCATCTCTTAATATTAAAATTGTAATATACATTTCCAAATGGATGAAAAGACTATGTATCCCCTTTATCAAAAGAATATCACACCAAAACAATATCATTATTAGCGTTGTTGAGTAGGTAAGTATTTATATTTTATTCAAATAATCTGTTACAAATCTATAAGAAAAAATTATCAGGTAATAAAGAATAACAAAAAGAAAAAGTAAGTTAGGAAAGAATATTTTCTCTTGACAGCAAAGGAAAGAAAACGAGGCCAAAAAGCACCATCCACAGTGTGACATGAGGATTTTCATAGATATAATCTGAGATATCTTAGGGGAATGTAATCTCTCTCGCTTAGATAACCTATCCGATCACTCCTCCCCGCGTTTATTTAATGGGGCAAAGTTATTATTTAACTACCCGTTATCAGCTCTAATTCGGATATTCTTAAAATCTGAACATTACCTACTTTTTTTTTCTTTAATGTTTATACCTATATAGGTATCTATGTGTTTATTGTTGGTAAATTATTTTGTGATAGAATAGACGTCATCTGTTGGTCTACAGCTCCTTCCCATCGCTAGGCACAATTATTAATGGTTACCTAATAATATTTTTATCATCTTTTGCATCCTCCCACCCCCATCCCAAGAAAAATTACTCCAAGTAACGCCACTGTACCGTTGCAGTATCGGGCATCTGACTCGGCCCACGGGGTCCTTGAGGAAGTGCGACTTGTAAAACTCGGCCGTCTCGCCGTTGCTCTTGCAGAACGCGCACTCGCGTAGGCATCCCATCTCGGACTTGGTCTTAGGGGGCCTGGACGAAATCGGTGGCTGGCGCAAGTGATGGTGGCCACCGTTGTTCTCCTGTTGCATGCGGTTCATACGCAACAGGAACTCGGCCAGGGTGTAGTAGTTGGGCGAAACGGGCGGGGAACAGCTACCGAACGCCGGGTATGCTGGTGCTGCCGATCCTGCGTCCTGACCGTGATACAGTGACGAGCTATACGGCGGGCTCGTCGAGGCCCCGTAATTTCGCAGATAGTGTAACGCCGACTCGACGCTTGCCGCGTGTTGGCAAATACCCGTCGCGTTCCCGTCGTCCGTGGTCGAGGTCAAGCACAATGCACAGCGATTCTGGTATTGAGATGTCTGGGCTAAGCTGCCGAACGCGAATCTACTACGGTCACTCATTATAATATTGCCTGCACACATACACACAAACGCATACGTATTATTTAAAACCAACGCAATTCAATACTATAATATAAAATTGTATGGATACCAGAAAAATGTGCAAAACACAGAATTTAAAAAGTAACAAAACATAAGATTTATGTTTTTGAAATGGTGACCTTTAGGTATTTAAATTTCAATCTTATAAATAACAAAAAAAAAAAAATTCCCTTATACCTACTTAACTTTTAATAGTTAATAACACAAGTGCTGTCAAATTCACTGGTATAAAGTTTATACTATAAAGTATAGACCATTAAAATCTTTAAAAATTAAAAATATGCGTTACAGAATTTCATGTACGCACTACCAATGATTTATAGGAACCTATAACTACATATAGAAACTAAAAACATAAGTTCTTTAATGGAAAAAAACTTAAATATAAATGTTCACAGCTCTGAATATAATTAATTGTATTTATTGATTTGTACTAAAATTCAAATGAATCATAAACATTTCAAAAATAAACCTTATAAAAGTAAAAGTCGATATTTTAATTATTGTGTGATCAAACTCTACTTGCAAAATGAATAATGATTGACTAAACATGATCACTCTGATTCATTCAAATACCCAAGTATATAACGAACATGTTTTAAATTTTTGATTTTTTTTATGACATTAAAAAAATCCGGTGGTTAATACTCTTTTACAAATCAGAACTACCTTTTTAATAGTAAATTATTAAAATGATTTTTTTAAACGTTTATTCAAATGTTTCTTTTTAAATATTAATGAATCTAAATTAAAATTTTGGTTTTATAAAAATAATATATAAAATATTGATAATTAGATTTAGGTATTCGGGGGTATTTTTTATAAATTTTAAAGTGTTGATTAACATTTAATTTTTACTTTCAATGCATGTATTAATACATTATTATAGGTGTATACAATATCAGTAAAATTAATGTAATATTATTTTATTTTTATTTTAAGCTCAAAAAAAAAAAAAAAATACACTATACATATTAAAATTACAGTATTGAAATCAATAATTTATAATCTAATGTACATATCCAAAAATGTTTTAATATTAAATATTTAATCAATCTAAAAGCCTTTAATTTAAATATAATTTAAAAGTGAAAAAATCAAATGTATTTGGAGTTGTACATATTTTTATAGTCGATACAGTTATAAAAAAGATTTTATTTTTAGTTTGAGAAATTCAAATCTCCAGAATACGGGCATTAGTCATCTAGACTATAGTAAGTACATACATTTTTATAATATTGAAAGTAAACAAGAGTTGTTAAAAACCGGTGTTAAACATTAGTAAGTTGCTGAGTTACAAGTTGAAACTAAAAAGTTCCTAATTATAGAATTAAAAGACACATTTTCTGTAATAGGCACTAAAAGTCTCAAGTTTGTAATAATGTGAAATGATAAATACATGTTTTACTGAATTACCTTTTGTAATCACGAAACACTGATTATAGTACCTAAAGTACCTAATCAATTTAACACCAGATAAGATTACAAAATGATTTATATTATAACCAATGTTAAAAGTAAATTTACCTATTTTATCATTAATTATACTTGGATTTCCCCAAAGTAGGTACTTATAACATTGAATCAATAATTTGATAAATTTTTGTAAGATTTCATTTCGAACAGAACAAGTGGAAATAATTTAATAATTTGTATGGACGGAAACATTGAAAACTAGTACTTAACGACCTACTACTATTTACTATTATAGACAGCGTTACAGCAGACATGTTTAATTGGTAATTAATACCCCATGAGGGCTTTAGCCTTTAACAGATAGGTAGTTACAATAATTGCATGTACTTGATTTTTAGATATAAATTGCGTTCACAAAATAAACTTATAAATAGGTTTATAATTTATTAGTTTTTAACGTATATTATCTATTATTGTACTTATTTAACGATTTTAATATGAAATTATAATCAATACACTATGATATACTTCATTAAATAAATATTATTTTCTTTCTTGTTGACTATGACACATTTATTTGTATTCAAATATTATTACAGTAGGTAATTTTTTATACACTTATACTTAAAAAACAATTATAATTTGAAATAAAAATTCAACTTCGATACAAAATTTATTTTGTTAACAATACTGTGTACGAAAAATGACATATTCTTGTTTTTTTTAAAGCAAACCTTTGTTAAATAACTATTATACTTTTATTGATTACTTTATAAGATATTATAACATGTTATTTGCAAGAATTAGATATTATTTATGGTCAATATTTGTAATTTAAATTAAATTTAATATTTCAGATTTTGAGAGAGTTAATGGACAATTAGTTTTACAATAATGGGTACTTTTTTTTTGAAAACACTTTTTGAAGCAGTTAAAAATGTTTAATCTGTTACATAGCATCGTAAATTAATACGTATGATACCTACTTTTATATAAATCAATTATTATTTTATTTTTACAATCTGTCTAAGGGCATAATAATAATATGTGTTACAAGCAATTAATAGATAAAAAGAGTGAGAGAATAAACTATCCAGTGATCGCACTATCTTTTGCTTATATTTATGCATATTTTATTTTATTTTTTATTTATTTATTCATATAAAACAATTTTATTATGAAATGAAAATAATGATTAAAATTTTTAGAGAATTTAAAATAAATAAATGGATTTTTAAAATTTAAGACCAAGTATTATATTATTATCTAATAGTTAATACCATTAAATATTTATAATTGGTAATAATTTTAATTGCATCTTCTAAATAATAAACAAGATATTTTTTTAACATAAAAGTATAGTTTATATTTATTATACTATTTCATACACATTTGATTAATATGACGATGATATTCATAATTATTAGTCCTTGATAGCACATGTTACGTAATTGATAATAGGTTGAATTTAAATTTACAAATTATCGTTCAATATCAAGACACGCGGCAGCGTGTCAAGCTAAGTAAGTTCTAGCTAACAGAACTGGAGAGCAGCATCGTGTGTATTATATTATTTTATTATGACTTAATAGGTTTAATTTTAATCGATATTTAGTACCTAAATATACAAAATTTAATATGAATTTAATGTTTAATAATTTTAAGAAAATCAAAATATAATAATAACAAGAAAAATACAAAAATTAAATAATAATTTCGATCACAAATTTATTTACATTACGATACTCCCATACGTTTGGTTTCAGTATTAAAAAACTTAAAGGTGGATTGACCTATTGGCTATTATTACATTTTAAGGTAAGAATAACATTATCTGAGGTATCTTGTAAATTGTAATTTTTCATTGATATTTGAATTATAAACAGAGTTAAGAACATTTTTATACTGTAATATGCTTATTACATAGTTATAACTTAAAACTCACTTTCAAATTAAAATATTAAAATAAGTAAATGAGATATCTAAGGATTAAATTAATATTTTTACCTTTAAATATTATAATAGACTAATCGCGAATATTCACTAATATGATATGAAAACAAATAACATAAAGTGGATTCTTCTGCATACAAATTTGTTGTATGTTTAAAGCGTACCTACCTTAATCAAAACATCTACTTAAATTTAAAATATTAATTTTTGTTAGTATTATAACATAGTTTTATAAAAACCAATAATAATGAAACTATACTTACTAATTTTACTTAATATTCTTTAAAAAAAAATCAAGTTAAATGTTTTATAAATTTTAATAATCATATTCATTAATTAAATTATAATTTAAGTCGTTTATTAGATATAACGTATCAAAAGTTTACATATTTTACACTATATTTAGTTTTTTTTTTTTTTGTTAAAAAGAAATCGGGTCTAATAAAAATTTAAAGTATTTGAAATATCATGTTTACTAGATTGTTAGATAAACTGAACTTTTATAATAATAATTAAAATAACCAACTTAAAAAATGAAACCAAGAACAAAATTACGTAATAAATATTAAATTACAACTATGAACAACCTAGGTACTTAGCGATTGCTTATGAACTGTGTTGAAAATAACCATATAATATTTTAATTGATTATCAAATATCAATATTTACATAATATAGAGTAAATGGGTGATTTTAATTTTCACATGAATTAGGTTAGTTATTTATGTTTTTGCAGTATTTCGAAAAAACCCGCGTACCCGTCTAAACATTATTATAATTATCATGGCTTACCTGTATTTCGGAGAAAAATTACGATTTCGGCGTATTAAAAAAATTGAATATATACTATAAGTTTATAAATTACCAATAATATACTATGACTATATATATTTGTATATATAAGAATTAACAACGCAACCGCTGGAGGAAATAATCGTTGAACGGTGGCTATTTTTGTACTGAGTGAAAACTTTTCGTTTTGAGTTCAAACAAGACCGATTAGAGACGGTCTCCGTAGGGTACCCTCTCTACTGCAGGTGGTTACAGATAAGCTCAGATCTCAGGCATAATAATGATATCTTATGTATATCTTGTGTAACGTGTATACATTTTATCTTTATTAACAATCGTATCAATTCGGTTTTACGATTTACGTCGAGTATTGAAAAGTTGAATAATTGTAATGGGCTCCTTACACGGTCGTTATTAATCTGAATTATATGATTAATAGATTACGGTATATTTATAACTATTAAATAAGATACGTTTGTTTCTTAATATTCGGGGTTCCCAGCGGAGTACTAGCGTATATTATACAGTCACTAAAGTAGTAAAGTAAGTACTAAAGTCCGTTAAGGCGACTTTAAACAGAATCTTCGCTGTGAATCCCATAGTCTCTATTTAACAACTTTTCACCGTGATTAAAGTTCATTTTGATTATTTATAATTTAAACGATTTGATACAAGATTCCTTGTAAGTTGTTACTACTGTAATTTAAAAAAAAAAATTGAGAGTAATATCATTAATTGGTGCACCAATATTTTTTTATGAGCGTTTGAAGCTTTTTATGGTGGCAAGTTTACCTCGTTGTAACTTGGGTTGAGGGAAAAAGGCTTAGTCCGCAAACACAAAGAATCCGATAAAATAATTACCTAGAGCTAGGATAAATTTTTGTGTTTAATAAATATTTTGAATTAAATTAGCTTAATTATTATAATGAAGTTATAATATAATAATTAACTACGAATTAATTAGGTATTTTAGTCTATAAAATCAATCTATAATAACAATACAATCTATCAATATTGTAATTAAATAACTATTTTATGCAAAATGTTCATATTAGAATAGAATTTTAAGTAAACAATTTTTAATGATGAATTAAAAACGTATTAATACTACTTGGCTGAAAAGCGTCTTGCTTTTTATTTTTATTTATTATTATGAAATGTAAGTTATACGTAATTTGTAACATTTACAATTGCTGACGATTAATAGGTTCATACGTTGAATATAAATACTTGCCTGTATAGATTGTCAATATGCTAGTAATCGTTTAATAATATTATGTAGTAAGTTGTTATTAATTATTACTATAGACGATCCACTTGTGATATCATTACTACAATAATTATTAGATCAAATCATTTTTTGTTTTTTATTTTGGTATAGATAAAAAACATTGTGAGAGACTGGGTTGGATGGATTAGTTTTGAGTGGTATACTAGAATCCCTCTTTTCCCTTAGATCAAATCCCTCAAAAATTTTGGCTATTAAATCTTGATCACAAGGCGTTATAAATAGGCAATCAAACATGCAATTTTAAACTTTATAAAAATGTATTTCCATTGATTATAAATTTATCATTCAATAGTATTTATTAACAATGATATTACGATTTATAATAACCATCACGATAAAAAAACTGTTATTTTGTATACTTAGCCAAAAACATATGTTTATTTTCATGTTATAAATATGGATCGTCACAATTAAAAAAAAAAGTTAATTTGAAAATGATAGAAAAATGGGTACCACTTTATATTATTGTGTAATAATCTATAATTTATATTTTAACCATATTATACTATAATTATTCAATTTTAAGTCAATACCACCTTACTGAAAAACAGTGTTGATGGCAGTGGTGGATTTAAGGGTGGGCAGAGGAACCTGGGTCTCCCCTTAGCCCATAAGATGTGTAAGAATATAACTGTGACGTAAAACTTATAATCACAACTCACGAAAAATTCAGGTTTGCCCCCTCCCCCCAAACAAAATCCTAGATTCGCCACTGGTTGATGGTATAATACTATAAATAGGTAATATCTACATACTTATTGAGAAAGTAAATGCATACCTATAATAAATAAATAAATAAATTAAAAAATTAATAATAATAATAAATACTTAAACTCATAATTGTAAGCATTTTAAGTTCCTGACAATAAAGTTATTAATTTATAACAGAACAAATTAACATCGTTGTTTATCGTTAAAATAAGTAATTTTATCTAAATTTGAACTTAATAATATGTGTGCAAAAAAAAAAATTGTGACTGTACCTGACACCTGTGTTAAATATTTGTAAATACATATAAGATAAATTTATGAGAAACCTTGTATTTAATTTTAAATCTATATTGTTTATAAATAGCTCAAAAACAGTCAAATTATTTTGAAATAACACTTAGTGAAAATATTTAGTTTTTACGGTAATTCGTTTTTTAATTATAATAAAATAAATATGATTTTTTTAAAAAACTGGTTTTAAGTAAAAATTTGTGCTTTTCTTTAATTTATTTTTTTATTTTTACTGGATATTTTGAAAAGTAATTTTAGCTCTTAAAGTATCAAATAGATCCAATATGTCACTGAAAACCATCCACAAAGTTTAAAATTGAAGCATTTTTATTACTTCATAAGATGATAATAATAGACAAAAACATAACACATCATTGTAAAATCGATATATTATACATTTATTAGGTACTCTGTTTTTTTTTTTAATCTGAAAGTGAAGTACTTCTTGATTATTAATTTACTAATAAATTATCAATGTTGAGTGGGATCAGAAATTGTTGTTTCTACGATCATCAAATCACTAAATAATATACCTATGTTAATAATATGTATAATTGTAGAGCTATAGAAGTAAATTTAAATAGATTTTATTAATAAATACCTATGTCACTGGGTACCTATTTAACTTAATTCTTCAATACCTAATTAGATAGGTATATTGGTATTTTTCATGATGTATTTTGACTGTCTTCGGCGGGTGTATTGTTCGATACTCTCTATTTCTCTAATCTCTAACTTATTTTTCCTATAATAGAGCACTCAATGGAAAATGGACCGATGTTTTTAAGCCCAGATTATAACTCGATATCTCGATACGAAAAATCCGGTTCATTATTCTAATGATTTCTTCTCTACTTTAATGACAAATGATGAAACCAGTCCTTTCAAAATTAAAATTTTAAAATGAAGTCCACTATTAATCCCAATAAAATATTTAATGTAGCCTGGTGTGATGTGGTGGTTGGCCACAGTCAGATCGGTTAGCATTGGTCGGCGTCGTTAACTTTTAGATAGGTGACTACCCGGTTTCTTACTTCTTAGCCACGAATCTATAGCACACACATACATACAAGTGTTCCAAACCCTATGGCCTATTAATCCTACAATAATAAAAAAAAAAACTCAAAAACTTGCTGTACCTTTTCACAGGTAATGGCCTTAGTTGCCAGGCTTCAAATTAATAAAAAAATAAATAAATATTTAACAGGCCTAGCAAAACAATAATTATACACAACAATAATCCTTATAATATCATATTCAATCTTAGAAGATTTAATAATTAATGTCTAAGAGGACCAAGGTAATAGCCAATAGGTGTTTAAAAATATATAGATAAATATGATAATAAATGGAAAAAATCAAGAATGTCTTATAAATTAATCTCATTCGTTCATACGTCTAAATGATTCTATCGTTAAAATGTTAAGTTACGTTAATCATTAGTGGACAAACCAGTAAATATAAATTATTTTATATTAATTTGTAGGATTGTTAAGATAATTATTATTTATTACATAGTGTTCATATCACATGTGAAAATTTGTGTCTAATATTGCAGTCGTATGACGTACATATGATATAATATGAACACCTATTTAATAGTAATGTACCTGTAATTTATAGTTAATAATGTATAATGTTGCATGACGTTTATTAGACTTGCTACATAACTACTGATTACCTATCAGAACGTCACATTTGACTAGGTATTTGACATATTTTGTTTGTTTGACTACTCCGACCCACCGAATCAGTAATTATTTCTTAACCATAAATAATGTGTTCACGATTTCACGTCGTATCAACCTCTATTGATACTTTGATATTAACTGGCAGAAGACAATATGACATTCAATTCGGAATCAATGAAAGGAAAATAATTGGCACACGGATTGCCTGCGACCTACGTCAACCTATTAAATTGTAACGAACATTTTACCGAATACTATCGGAGGATACCTGAGCGAATCGATCGTCAAGGAATTTCAGGAAACATAACGATTATTAGGTGGCTGTCTTGTGGAGCCAACTTCATTTTAGGGGAGAGTGAGACACGAGTATCAAAAGGTTTAAGGTAGTCATAGAATATTGAAACGATTTAATAATGCCAGATAAGAACTAGGAAGTGGGTTATACCAAATCATTTTTTAGTCTTTGCTTGTAATAGTACCTATTTCTAATTCATTGAGCAGCCAGGTAGTTGTTATTAATCCATGGAGTGTATGAATAGACCAAATTTCTTTTTTTAAATTATCATTAATTTATAGTAGTGAGGAATATGTAGATTTATTAGCATAGTAATAATTAGTAAGTATAATGTGTTAACATTTTTTAAATAAAATAAAAACACCTAGTTAAATAATAATACACTTTTAATTAATTAAAAAATATAAATAGTCATAACCAATCTATTTTAATAGAAATACAAATGGATGTCTTGTTCATTCATAATATTAAAATATCTTATTAATATAAATAATACTAGTTATTATTATAAAATATGTTATATTATATAATTTGTTCATTCATATGGTTGTCCTAACTAAACTTGAATTTCTTGAATTTGTGGTATCTTTTGAATGTGAATGTGCTACAACAACAGATAAACACTGTACCCATTCTTCAGCATTTTTACCACCTTTAGGTTTTAGTATAAGAGATTCTTCTCCAGTAAATATTTCAAAAGCTTTAGGTATGTTTCGAGCACCACGGCTTACTTTTACACTACGAATCTGATGAATGTCAATAGGAGTTCCTTCTTTATCATTTTTCTGTAACAAAAAACAAATAAAATGTGTTATAATATTTAATTGCATATAAAAGCATAAAATGAGATAATTTAAATAAGATGTTTATTTATAGATACAAAACAAAAATCAAAAGTAAAAATAAATT